CTTAAATCTCATTTGAATGTTTTGTTAGTGATTAGATATTCATGAACTTGCTTTTTCCAGCTGAAATCTGTTTTTGAAAACTTTTTTACATTTGCATTTCATTTGTACTAAGAATGAAATTTTTTGATCACCTTGTTTGATAGTGCTTCTATCGGCTACAAGGCGCAGAAATTGGAAACAAGTGAAGCATTATGGCAAAGGATAGCAAAATTTTTCGACTAAGAAAAGTGGGGAAAGGAAAGGTATGAAAAAGAAGACAGCTCTGTTAGAGAGCTGCAACATAAAAGGACCTACTAATAGTATTTGGAAGTACATTGTTTGGTTTCGTTTCGTAATCATTCGGTTAACGAGTTTTCGATTAATGGGGTTTTTCACAGTAACATTTGTTTTTGAAAAGCAAAAAGAACCCAGTTCTGACTTGAGAAGAGGGGAGAAATATGAAAAAGGTGGGAAAGGATAGTATACACAGACTAAGAGCGGCTGTTATGTTCTTATTGGTGCCATCTGTTAATAAGATAGTTTTCTGTTTCTTTTTTTATGCGTTTTTTGCATCTATGCAATGCAAATACGTATACTTTCGAAAGATTGTCTGTGTGTGCGTCTGTACCGATTTTTCATCTGGGAACTTTTAAAAGCTATAGGATTGAAACTTTGGGAACTTAATCTTCACATGCACGTACGTGCCTCATTTCCCAAAATAGGCGCTCTTACCCATGTGGTTCCCACATGTGGGTCCGCGAAGTTTTTCGCGGGTAATTGGCAAACTCGGGGACCTGGGAGGCTGAAAAGCTGAAATTTTAAGGGGATATTCTCCGTCCATGTAAGTCTCACTGAGTTCAAGCCGAACTCCTGAGTATGCATGGTTCCTACATGCGGTCCGTGGGTGTTTTTTGCGGTAATTGGTTAGCTCGGGAACCTAAAAAGCTAGAAAGTTGAAAATTTAAGGGGATGTTTTCAAACAACTCCGGTGACCAGTTTAAATTCCGTTAGCTAGCGGTTCCGCCGGAAAAACAGTGCCGTTAGCGGCAAAAACTGTGGGAACTATGCAAAAAGCGCATCTTCGCACCGGCAGTCGGTGTGTTGGCCATTTATTACTACATAGAACATCTTTTTGGAAACATCCTTAAGCCTCTGTTGCTTTGTCGTTTGTAGCGCTGTACAGTTGACCGTACTCACTAATTTCACTTGCTACTTAATTGTTGATTTTTAGAGTAGTGTTCATCCGCCTCATTTCGAACTGGTACTAGATGGTGGCCGCGAGCGGTTCGAGGTTGATCGTGGTGCAAAGAATCTCTGGCGAACAATCCTGCTTTTTATTCAGCACATTCGTCTCTTCAACAATTGTCAACTTGGTAATATCAGAATAGATCGCGTCGGTGTCAACCTCGCATGTGTTCTTGAATAAAAGTACTCATTCTCTGAAGCCACACTGTTGCCCGAGTAATACTAGCCCTGCCCTCTGCTAGAATATCAGGCTGTGATTTCAGTTCTTCCCGGTTAACCGCGCGGCTCCATTGGGAAATGAGTAAATTTTCTTGCTGGAATTTTATTAAACAATAATTTCAAGATGTGCGTGGTTTTTTTGTTCACTTTCTACAGCTTTTTAAAGCAATTTTTTGTTGCCGGTAAGTTTTTGATAAAAAAGCTTTTACAGTTTTTGACAAAAAAGCCTAAAATTGATTTTGAAGAAAAAGACTCTGTTGTTTTTGTGTGTATTTTAGATTTTTTACTGCCAAGAAAGCTAAAAAAAGCGGAAATAAAGGAATTGGAAATTTTTAGTTCCTTATAATCCGATATAGAAATTTTTTTCGTTTTCTTTCACACTTTTTTCTTTCTTGTGCAGAAATTATACAGATACTTATCAGCCAAATCCTTTTCTCTATTATACGTATTGTTTTTTTCTTCAGCACATATTCTGCAAAGATCAGTCCTTACCACCCTGAATTTATTTTGTCATATTTTTGTAATATTTTAATTGTTTCCTGGCTACTAACGCATTTCACTCATAAAGTTGTTGACCATGAAAATAGCAGTGTGAAAACTGTGTGAAAAAAAATCTCATGAATAGGATTCAACCGAATTTTCTAACTCCTTTTTTTGAAGAATTCAAGAGAACCTACTCGTAAAAGATATTTGGCTACTTTTTCCACATTGTTCAGCAGCGTATTAGACTGCCCTTCCTTAGTTTTCCTTTCTTGTAATTTAGCTTACGTGCATTTATATCCCACGTGCATAGCAAGCAGAATTAGCCCAAGAAAAGCGGTCATTTTTGGTCGTTAAGCTCTCGGTGGACATTTTTATGTTTCTGGCAGTATTTTATATGGATCTTTTTTTACTATTCTTTTTTTTTCAAATCTCCGGTCTTGCAGTCCGGCCAGTGTTTCATTCTTCTTCGATATGATGCTCATTCCCGGTAATCTCGTTGTGTGCGAATCACTCATTGTTAAGTTTTATTTCCCGCAATAAATTTTTCTTTTAAAAACTCTACACCCCTATCTCAGCCAGTTGGTGGCCTAACTTTATACTGGCGATTAATTTGAAGCCTTTTAAGAAATTTGTATTTGGATGTTCTCACGGCCTTTCTATTTTCAAATGTTTTTTTTTTTTAAAACAGCCTTTGTAGTTGGCCGTTGTCCTTGTCCTTTTCCCCAAACGGATAGCCTCATTATGAAAGCGAAAGACATTTTATTTACAGCATATAACGAATCAGATATGCACTTGAAATGGGAAAAACATGATGAGATCACTGAGTGGCGAGGTACACATGAGGGTTTTCATAAGCGTTCTGTGTTATCATTAGGAGAGTAGCCGTTTTTGCAATACGCACCACGGGCGAGTTATTTAAAGTTTCGCAGCTTTATAAGGGTCTACATCAGAATAAAAGAAAATCGGAAATTTTTGATCCCCCGACGCGTATTCGGTGTTTGTACAACATGCTGCGTATGGTACCACTTTTAAGAATACCACAACCCTCGTAGGGATACAATTGTAGCATATTGGATGCTGTTTTCCAATTGAACAGTAACTGTGACCTGACTGCTGCTGCTACGTGCGCTGTTTTCTTTTGGATGGCTCAATTTGATATGATAGCTCCATGAGGCGTCGCTGATTGTCGATCACTTTGAAATTCCTGGACAGATAAAGAAGCATTTAAAGATCAGTATCTTTTGAAATTGACCGAAAAAGCATTAGCACTGGAAGCTTATACTGTGAAGCGCTATGGGAAATTAGGCAGCACTGGGAGGGTGTGAAGTGTGAGCAGCGGGCATGCCGATTAGTGGTACCTGTCGTTTGTTCCTCTTGTACAACCCACCCCGCATCTGCGGCTTCTGTAGTCTTAGGCGCTCAACTCCTGGCAGTTTTTACGAGTGGTGATTTTCAGAGAAGAATAGTAATTGCCAGTAGATAAATTATATAGTTTAGTTTTTTTTATATATATAGTAAACTATCCAGTTTTTTTTTTCATTGGTACTATGAGCATTTTTGACAAGGGTGCTATGAGCACTTTTGGCGAGGGTGCTGTGAGTACTTTTGGCGAGGATGCTGTGAGCACTTTTGGCGAAGATGCTATGGGCACTTTTGCCTGTCAAGATGCAGATAAAAAAAACGCTACAACTTGAGGATAGTGTCCACAATGCGGCGCAATCTACGTCATAGCAAACTTGGGAAGGTTGCTGGCTGTGCTGTGATGCAAAAATACGTGGCATTGAAAGAAGGCTGAACAATGCATCAAAGTTGAAGTGATTACATTATAATTTACCTAATGAGATTTTTTCCTTCGAAAACTTTGCGTTGTTCGAACGACAAACCTGAAAAAGATTCGTAATATTTTAGCTAGTGCAATAAGAACGGAAAAGTTTGTCGCATTTCATCTCCGGTCGACAAGATTGCCATGCAGCCACATGTTGTCGCTCATTCAGTTTTAACATACAAAGATTTTAAATGCAAAGATTCACCTTACTGCGAGGATTTTGAAATGAACCTTTAAGTGAACTTGGTTCTCATTTATAGGCACGTAAAGTCTTCAGCAAAAAAAAAAAATCTGCTAACTCAGAAATCAGAAAGACCAGAAAGCTGAAATTTCACGGGAATGATCCCCTGTCCAAGTACGATCTAAAGACCATTTTCACGCATATGCCTGCGGAAGTTTTTTGTGCGACTTAGTCATCCCTCCCTCCCCATATCCTGCTAATTATCAGTGACCGATTGACAACAGCTAATTTTCGTCTCCCTTGCAAAATTTACGGCAGTCATGCATGCTGGAAATTAACATTTTACGCTTCTGACGAAGCAATACTGCTGTCCCAGCTGACGCCCTTCTCCTCATGCGTGCAAGGAAAGGCCAAAGCACTGCCCACGTGAGTGCACGTGTTGAACTGTAAAGCAACAGTCATTCACACTGTTAAAGATTTAATTGTTTCAAGTTTAACGCAAAGACGCATGACTGCACTGCTAAACCTGGCGGGCCGTTACCTTTGTTATGCGTTTTTGCATATATGCAAACGCAAAAAACATATTATGACGATGTGCGTGTGTATGTGTATGTGTGTCTGTGTGTGTGTGTATGCGTGTGTGTGTACGTCCAGGTATTTAAAAAAAAGAAACTTGGCAACCAAGCAAGAAACTAGGAAGTTGAAATTTTAACGGAATGTTCCCTGTCCAAGTACCTCGTAATTGCAAAATTAACTTCCTGAACTTAGAGAACTAGTATGTCACAAATTCTAACTACTGGGGTACCTTGCGATCATATTATACTAGAAATTGCAAAAATACATGAACGCGCAGGCTCGCCTAGTGCGCGTCGCCAGTGATTTTTAATGAAACAAGCTGTAAACATACCTGGATATTTGCATAGCCTAAAACTCCGCAATACGTTCGCAATCATATGCTGAAAAATCCTCCAGTTGAAAAATGTTGCGAAATCCTTTTTCTTGTAAAAGTGTAGCCGCTCTTACCTTCGTCTCCGAAGGCCCCGTTCAGTAGCAAAATTTCTGATTTCTTAGCAGTCTTCTGCACCAATCCAGGCATGCTGTCGTGTACAGGGGAAGTGACAGCAATCTAGCACAGTCAAAAAGACAAAGTAAAACGACGCAAAAACTGTTTTGTCCGACTAGACTTATTTGGCTCGAAGCATCAAAAACTCAAGTTAAAAATGCAGTAGGCTTGCCGGTGCCACTATGCGTTTTTTGTACCACATTTGAAGTACTCAGCTCATTAACTAAATGGTTACTGCTTTACACCCACCTTTTGCGCTCACTAGCGTAAATCATCGTAAATTTTGCATAAAGGAAATGAAAAATTTCCGTTTAGCGGTCGTTCTTTGAAAAATGACCTAGTTGTTTAGTGAGCAATTTCCCCTCTCCCGCACAGCACCTAGCTTTGCTTCCCAAAAGATGCTGTTTCAACACTTGTAATTGCTGGCAAAAGCGCTTTCACTTGCATCTCGAGATGCAGCAGCCCTTCCTATGAAATAAAATACGGAGAGCAGAGGCGCGAAATTAGAATTAACCATTTTTTCGAAATTGATGAGTCCTGCGAAGTATGTTTTATTTCCCTCGTGCGTAAATGTTAAATCTTTGAGGAGAAGCGGGACGAATGGTACAGTTGGCGCATTCATATTCGCAGTGAGCATACGATAAGCACGATGATTTCGAGATGGATCAAGCAATGCCTCAAATTCAGCGTACTGTTGTTTCATTTTCGATGGAAGTTTCTGCAAAAAAAATCTTGGAAGAGACTGTTCTGGAAAAGTGATTTTCTTAGTTATAATTATTCTAAACACTTTATGGCGTTTTGTTGCGCGAAAAATTTGGACTGACCTGAAAACTGCAAAGGCAGTGCGGCATTACGTTAGTGTTAGCCGTTTGAGGATTTTCGACAACAAAGCGACCGGATGGGGAGGGAGAAGGTGGGTAAGGCTAGGAAAAAGACGAACTTACGAACTTTGAAATTTATTTGGAATACGCAACACTTTCAACATTAGAAGCGTAGTAGCTTGCACTAAATCAAATAGCTGTATCCCTTACACTTTCAATTGGGATCATCAGCAGACTGAACACTTGGTAGTGCGTTACTAGTTAAAGCAAACTGAAAAAGTAGCCAACCACGTAGCTAATGAATCACGCTATAAACAACAGTTGATCAAAATTGGTGAAAATCCTGGCACAACTTACATCCCAGAGATGCGTGATTCTGCTCACTGCTACGTTGCTGAGTCCCAGCGTGATTGCAAACAACGACATCAAGTCTCTGTTTTCCTTCGCACTGCAAGCAAGATAGAGTGAGAAAAAAAAAAACAGTCAAAAGTACTGAAACAGAAATGACAGCGTTCCGACCGAAAAAGTACAGTAGTAATTTTAGCCAGAAGCGACTGATCCAACTCACTGAGGAACTCTTTTGGTCCATAATAAAATTACAGTTAAAGATGAAATCTTTAACTGCATGCAATATTTTGCTCATTCATCTGCCGTGTAAATAATAAACTTACTGAGTCGCAATTTTGATGAATTTTTTGAGTACCGCGAGCCGTTTTGCGTTGCCGCGAGCGAGCAATATTTCAGTGGTTGTCCAGAATTGTAGCTCATTGAAACGACGCATCAACAGATCCAAATTTGATGTTATCCGGCCAGGAAACTGCTCACGACCAAATACCTTAAATGCATGGATAAGCCAGCAATTTATACGAAAAAACAGTTGTACAAAATTCAAAAGCTCGGCGTAAATTAGGCAAAAAAAATGTGTGAATTAGCCTGCAGTGCCAATTCTGACAAATGGTTGTGAC